ACCGACATTGCGAACGCTTTCAACAGCATTTCGCGACAATCCATCGCAGCAGCGTTACAAGAACCAACCCTGTCGCCGCTGCTCCCCCTGGTTCGCCTGACCTACGGTAACCCATCGCGGCTCTACCTGGATTCGAATTTTGCGAGCGAGCCCCTGCGAAGTGAACGAGGCGTTCGCTAGAGCAATCCACTGGGCCCACTCCTTTTTGCGGCGGGATTCCACCCCACACTTCGCGACACTGCAGCAGCACACCCTGAGGTGCTTTGCTTGGCGTGTGCAGACGACGTGACATTTGTGGGTGAACCACGTGCAACTGTAGCTGCCTTCACCCACTTCACCATGAGGCTGGAATTACTGGGTTAAAACACAACCCTCAAAAGTGTACCGCATGGAGCGCTGCCGCGGGCGATTCACCTGAACTGCCTCAAGGGGTGCCGTTCTGCAGGGACGGCGTCCGTCTATTGGGAAGTTTCCTAGGGGCGGCCAACGGGGCAGCCACGTTCTTGGCGGGGCAGCTGAGGGACATGGTGAAACCATTGCCACTCATCGAGCAGGCCGACCCACAGGTCGCCTCGCTGCTGATCACGCGCTGCATCTCCCGGCGCGTGGCGTATCTCACCCGAACAACCCCCCTCAATCTCGTCTCCCGGGATACATGGACTGAGTGGGGCCGTGACCTCCTCTTGGCACTACTCACCTCGTGCAACATTCGCGCTCCAGCGGGCAGAGCAGAGCTGTCACGGGTCTGGGCTCAGGCGTCCTTGCCCCCCTCTCTTGGTGGAATAGGCATTACAGACCCCCTCGTCGAGGGAGTTTACGGTTTCGTCGTGAGCTTCACGCAGGCGGCGCTGCTCTTCTCCGCGCTCACGCTAGACCTAGACTCCGCACTATCTCACGCGCGCCGCCATATGCTCCTGCCTAGGGACGAGAGCACACCGCTTCACTCCTGGCTCGCCGAATGCGAAACCGCCCTGCCTTCTGACGCGCGAGAGCTGCTAGACCGGAAACGAATTAAGCAGGCGGATGTCAAGCTACAGCATGCCCTCGCCCTACAAGTCCACGGTAGCCGCTACGCCGTGCAAGTACAGGCGACGAGAGACATGGAGCTGAATCCGCTTGCGGGCCATACGCAGCAAATGTTTTCTCTAACGGGCTATGGCACAGGGGACTGGCTGACGGCGATACCTATCGAGGCGACGAGGCACATAGGACCGGCACACTTTCCCAATGCCGTCCGATTCACGCTTGGGTTGCCCTTCTCCACCCCCAAAAACTGTGACTGCTCGGACCACACCGAAATTACAGATCCCCGCCTCCCAAACCATCTCCTCCGATGCGGAACCGGCAAGCATCGCATCAACACCCACAACGAGCTCCGGGATGCTTGCATCAGTATGGCGCAGGATGCGGGTTTCATAGTCCACAGCGAGTCGGCAGCCCATTGTCCCATCGATGAGCAGACGGCCGATTTCACTATGACCGACAGGAGCAGCGGAGCGGTTTGGGTGTGTGATGTAACTGTGACAGACCCCATCAGCACTCGGGACCCGGAGGCGCTGAAAGGCAATGGATGGGCGGCCAGAGAGGTTGCAGACAAGAAGATTCAACACTATGCAAATAGACCAGAGACAGTCGGCTTCTTTCCACTGGCGGTGGAGAACTATGGCTGCCCATGTGCAGAGGTCCCCGTCTTCCTTAAACTCCTAGCAGACACGGCGGCTCGGCGCCACTTCAACGCCGATTCTAACTCCTATCATGCCACTAAGTTTCTGCATCAGTTCAGGCAGCGGTGGTCAGTTGCTCTTCAGAGAGCACAGTCGGTGGGCCTCCTCATGAAATTGGGTGAGGCAGCAGCAGCTGAGAACCCCCCGGTGGGGGGGATTGGACATGAACTACACCTAGGGGATTGTTTTGCTGTTTTGGAGCCACTGGAGGAACTCTAGAGGGGTTAGTTTAGAGCTTGCATGATTCTGAACCTGTATGTGTCTATCTTTCTGCCATATCAATGTACGGACCATTAGAGAGAGAAAGAGAGAGAGAGAGAGAGAGAGAGAGAGAGAGAGAGAGAGAGAGAGAGAGAGAGAGAGAGAGAGAGAGAAACATTCACATGCACACACACATGCACGTACACGCACACCCACCCACTCACCCACACACACACACATACTCCCACACGCACATATACACACATACACACACAGAGAGGCACACACACACCAACACACATAACACAAGGCACACACACATCTACACACGTGGTTGCACTCGTGCAAAGGCACGGCGCCCAAGAGCGCGACCTGCTGTGACTCAACCGCTCACGCACGCGCTAATGTTGTGGGATAGCCGATTGTGCATGAAAACCCCATGCAAAAATAGACAACCGTTGGATCGGGACGTCGCTCTCAACGTACGAATACGCGGTAATCGGCAAGACAGTGTTTATAATGCGCGGACGGCTCCACCAAGCACTACACTGGTGGCGCTCCTGGTGCGATAGTAGCCTCATCCTGTCCATTATCTCACACGGATATTGGTTCCTATGGAAGAATGGACCCCCAGCACCTTTCGAAAGGAAAAACCACGCAGGCGCCCAGACACAATCGGATTTCACACGCGATGCCATTCAGGACCTCCTGCGAACAGGAGCAGCGGCAAAAGCTCCTGACCGATCAACACTAATATGCATTAGCCCACTCAATGTGGTCGAACAGCGAGAAAAATGTCGGCTCATCCTCGACCTGCGGAAGGTCAACGATCACTTGTGCATTCCTAAATTCAAGTACGAAGGCCTCGCGCGGGTAGCAGAGTTGATCAAGCCGAACAACTGGATGCTATCGGTTGATCTCAAGTCAGGGTATCATCACGTGGACATCCATCCCACCTGCTGGAAGTACTTAGGATTCCAAGTTGAAGGCAACTACTACTTCTTCCAATCCCTGCCATTCGGTCTGACCACGGCCCCTTTCGTCTTCACGCAGCTCATCAAACAGTTGGCCCAAAGATGGAGATCTCTCGGTTGGCGGGTTATCCTCTATGTGGATGATATACTGATCGTGGTAGAGACCGCACAACAAGCGGGGGCCACATGCGCACAAATCGTAAGGGACCTGAGGGATGTCAGATATATATAACATAGCTACTGTAGGCGATAGTGGGGTAGCACATATGGGGTACAGCTTTCTAGGGTTTGTACTTGTACCCAACTTTCCCTTACTCATTTCATTCTCGTTCTAGTTTTCTCATGGTATCGAGAAGGTTCCCTCGTGGGAACTGTTCCTAGGGCCCACCGATTCGATTCTTTTTTTTCCTGCCCGGAGCGCGCTCAGTTCCTACCCGAGTCGCGCTCCGTGGGTCTCCCCTCTCACGGCCTCTCGCGGCCCCGTCGCGCTGCCCTAGTGGCCGCGCCACGTCGCGCCGCCCTAGCGGCCGCGTCGCGCCGCCCTCGCGGCCCCGATCCGCCGCCCTCGCGGCTCCGTTGCGTCGCGCCGCCCTCGCGGCCCTTTCAAGCCGCCCTCGCGACCCCCCACCTCCTAGCCGCCCTAGCGGCCCCGTCGCCTACCCCTGCGGCCCCGGCGCCGCCCTTCCCAGCCTCGGCGCCGCCTCTGCTGGCCCCGTCGCCTACCCCTGCGGCCCCGGAGCTGCCCCACACGGCCCCGACGCCGCTCCACCCGGCCCCGCCGCCGCTCCACCCGGCCCCGCCGCCGTCCCCACGCGAAGCCCCCGTCACCACCGAGCAGCCGGCGCCGCCGAGCTGCTGCCGAGCCGCCCGATCCACCCGAGCCGCCCGAGCCGCCGCGTCACCTGAGCCGCCCAAGCCGCCGGGTTGCCGAGCCGCCGATCTGCAGCTGCTGCCGAGCCGCCGTACCGCCGAGCCGCCCGAGCCGCCCGAGCCGCCGAGCTACCAAGCCGCCGTACCGCCGAGCTGCCCGAGCCGCCGAGTTGCCGAGCCACACTTGCTGCCGACCCGCCGTACCACCGAGCCACCCGAGCCGCCGGAGCCGCCAAGTTGCCAAGCCGCCGGGCCGCCCGAGCCGCCCTGTCCGGTAAGAGCAGCGCCTCTGTCACTGCACTGCCCTTACCCTACTGTTCGCGCTGCTGGTCTACTTCTGTCATGGCTACCCCTAGTGTCCTCGCTTTTGACGCTGAGGGTCGGGCCATTGACTTTGACGTCTGGGTAGATGACCTGCAGCTTTTCCTACAGTGCAATAGGGCAGACGGTCTCTCCCTCTTTGACCTCACCTCTGGTGCCTCTCCTGCCCCTGCTGCTGATGCCGACGCCACTGTTCGCTCACAGTGGGCCACACGCGATGCTGCTGCACGTCTTGCTGTGCGTCGCCACCTGCCTACCTCTGAGCATGCGCACATTAGCCAGTACAAGAGTGCTCACACCCTGTACGACGCTCTAGTTGCACGCTACTCCTCCCCTGCCACTGCTGCACTGAGCCGCCTCATGCTACCGTACCTCTTCCCTGACCTTGCTGCCTTTCCCACAGTCACTGACCTCATTACGCACCTCCGCACTAGTGACACTCGCTACCGCGCTGCGCTTCCTGCTGAGTTCTGCGCCAAGAACCCCCCCCCCATGTACATCACCCTCTACTACATAGTCACCCGGCTCCCTGACTCCCTTCGCGTAGTCAGGGACCACTTTCTCTCAGTTTGCCCCACCAGTCTCACCGTTGACCTCCTAGAGAAGGCCGTCCAAGCAGCAGAGAAGAGCATAGTCGCTGTAGGAGCCTCTCGTGGTGACCCTCGCACCCCCATCTTTGAGGGGTGCTCCCCCTCCCCCCTTTTGCCCTCTGTTGCCTCTGCTGCTGCGGCCGGCCTCGTAGGTCTTGAGTCGGTCGGTGCGGCGTCTACCCCTAGCGGGAGACGCCGCCCTGGCAAGGGCAAGGGGGGCAGGGGCGCTGGAGGAGCTAGCGGGGGCGGTGGAGGAGGCGGTGGAGGCGGCGGAGGGGGTGGGGGTGGTGGTGGGGGTGGTGGCGGGTGTGGAGGTGTTGATGGCGGCAGTGGAGGCGGAGGCGGCGGCGGCGGCGGCGGCGGTGGCGGTGGGAGCGGAAGTGGAGGAGGTGGCAGCGGTGGAGGAGGCGGCGGTGGAGGAGGTGGAGCAGGTCGGGGTGGCGCTGCGAAGAGGGTCGGCTTCGGTGGTGGTCAGCGCCAGCAGCAGCAGCAGCAGCGCACTCGTGACATCCCCCCCCCTCAGCAGCTCCGTGAGTGGTACGCTGCGCGCCTGCGGGGTGGGGGTATAGGTCTGTGCACCTACGTCCTACGCACCAACGACCGCGCGGGTGAGCAGTGCGGGGGTGCACACCCCACCCAGCGCTGCTTTGGCCGCCTGACGGACGCTTGGCGTCACCAGTTCCCGGAGGCCACTGAGATCCCTTGCTGGGGCGAGCTGTCTAGGGCGGGAGTAGCTATCTTTGACCTTGACTTTGATGCTATTCTTGCTGCCATGTATCCTGTGCCTATAAGTGAGAAGGGTGACTGTTACCGGTGTTTTGCGCCCGACCCGGGCATTGAGACTGCTGCTCTAGGTACTGGTGAGGCTGCTGCTCTAGGTGCTAGCGAGGCTGCTGCTCTAGGTGCTTGTGCGTCTGCTCCCTCAGGTGCTGGTGAGTCTGCTCTCTCAGGTACTACGTCAGCTTCGGCCTCCCACACCTTCACCCTTGACTCGGGGGCTTCTCACTCCTTTCGAGACCGCACCACACTCACGCCGCTTGGCCGGCCAGTTGCAGTCTCTCTGGCGGACCCCTCTCGCAGTCCTGTCCTTGCTCACTTCTCCACTGTCCTCCCGTGTCCGGCGGCCCCCTCTGGCACCCTATCTGGTCTTTACCTCCCCTCGTTCTCTACGAACTTGGTGAGTGGTGCTGCCCTACAGGATGCGGGGGTTCACCAGTTCACTCCTGCGAGTCAGCGGGTGACCCACTGCACGGACGGTCGGACAGGCCGACACCTGGCCAAGTTTACACGTCGGCCAGGGTCGAGCCTGTAGACACTGACCACTGCGTCTCCTCCATTCACTGCGTTTGGTCAAGTAGCTGCGTCGGGTCAGGTGTTTGCTGCAGCGTCCAGGTCTGGTCCTGAGTCTGCCCCCTGCTCGTGTCGCCTCCTATCTCACGAGACTCTCCTCTGGCACCACCGCCTTGGTCACCCCTCCCTGCTTTGTCTCCGAGGCATGGCCTCCCGTGTCCTTGTCTCTGGTCTTCCCCGGTCCCTCCCTCCCCTTCCTTCGGGGCCTGGCCCTACCTGCGTCCCCTGTGTCGAGAGGCGGCAGCGGGCTGCCCCTCACTCCTCCCAGTTTCCTCCGACAGAGGCTCCGCTGTAGACGCTTCACATGGACGTGTGGGGCCCGGCCCGCGTCCGTGGACAGGGTCACGAGCGCTACTTCCTGCTGGTGGTTGACGACTACTCGCGTTACACCACAATCTTCCCCTTGCGCAGCAAGGGTGATGTCACTGAGGTGTTGATCGACTGGATCCGCGCAGCTCGTGTCCAGCTCAAGCAGAGCTTCGGGTCGGACTTTCCTCTTCTGCGTCTGCACTCTAACAGAGGCGGAGAGTTCTCCTCTGGCCTTCTGCGAGCCTACTGTCGTGCACGAGGCATCCGCCAGACCTTCACGCTTCCGGACTCTCCACAGCGAAATGGGATTGCTCAGCGCCGCATTGGCATGGTCATGGACGTCGCACGTACGTCCATGATGCATGCGGCTGCCCCCCATTTTTTGTGGCCGTTTGCGGTTCGGTACGCGGCGCATCAGATCAACCTTCACCCAAGGGTCTCCATGCCGGAAACCTCCCCAGCCTTACTGTAGACGGGGAAGGTTGGCGATGCGTCTGCGTTCCGTGTCTGGGGATCTCGGGCATTTGTCCGCAACTTGTCTGCGGACAAGCTGTCCCCTCGTGCTGCTCCTTGCGTCTTCCTTGGCTTCCACCCTGACGCGCCAGGGTGGCAGTTCTACCACCCCACCTCTCGCCGTGTTGTGTCCTCCCAGGACGTCATGTTTGACGAGTCGGTCCCCTACTACCGCCTCTTCCCCAACCGCACTCCGTCCCTCCCCCCACCACCCCTCTTCCTTATGCCAGGTCCCGCCCCGGTAGACCCCCTCCCCCCTCAAGGTCCTGCCCCTTCAGGTGTGTCCCAGGTACACGCAGTTGAGCCTGTCGAGGTTACTGGTGACTCTGGTGCTGCTGAGGGTGCTGAGCCTGGGGGTGCTGACTCTGGGGGTGCTGAGCATGTGGGTGCTATGCCTGGGGGTGCTGAGCCTGAGGGTGCTACTACTGGGGGTGCTGAGCGTGTGGGTGCTACGCCTGGGGGTGCTGAGCCTGAGGGTGCTACTACTGGGGGTGCTGAGCCTGGGGGTGCTGAGCTTGGGGGTGCTACCACTGGGGGTGCTGAGCCTGGGGGTGCTGAGCCTAGGGGTGCTACGCGTGGGGGTGCTAAGCCTAGGGGTGCGGAGCCTGAGGGAGCTGGGCCTGCTCGTATGTCGTCTGGCGGTGCTGAGCATGGAGGTTCTCCGGGTGCTTCGTCTGAGAGGGAGTCACTCTCTCCATAGGAGCTGCGCGAGTGGTTTGCCTGGCGCTGGAGGCGTGCTGCTGGAGCTGGAGGCTCTTCGGCTGCTGAGGGTGCTGCTATCGCGGGTCCCGGAGGTGCTCGTACTGGGAGTACAAGAGCTGCTGGGCCTGCGGGTACGACTGGAGCTGGAGCTGCTGAGGGTGTTGGCGCTGAGGCTACTGCTGACGGTCCTGGAGGCGGTCCTGGTGGGGGTGCTACTGGTGCTACTGGTGCTGCTGGAGGTACTGGAGCTGGAGGTGCTGCTGGCGCTGGTGCTGCCGCTAGGGGTACTGGTGCTATCCCTGCTCTGTCTGTAGTCGCCGCGCGGCCTCGGTCGTACTTCGTTCCGCTCCTTCAGCAGGTTCTTGGTCTCCCGCGTTCTACTGGTCCTTCTCCTCCCTTAGTGTGTCCAGAGCCTGTCCCGTCACAGTTACAGCCGGCCTCCCAACCACCTGCTCCTTCTCCCTACACTAGTCCTACTGGAGGTCTTGCTGAGCGTCGTGAGCCTGCGTCTCGTCCTACGTCGCCTGTTTGTCCTGCTCGCACTAGTGGTCGTGGTTCGCGTCAGCGTCTTCCTCCTGTCCCTGGCACGCAATGGATGTCTCTGCGTCCGTCCACTTCTCCTCTGCGTGCCCCTTTGCCTTCTCATCCTGAGTCCTCTCTTCTTGCTCTTGCCGACCCGGAGTCGGAATCTCTTTGTGTTGCCAGCCCTACTGTCACGCGTCTCCTTGCTTCTGACGTCACTGACCCTTCCTTTGAGTCCACTGCTGCGTCTGCCCTAGTTACTGAGCTCGTCGACTTTGCTGCTCGCTGTCGTCTAGACTACGCTGCTAGTCTTGTCGCTGTGTCTTAGTCTGTCTGTCCTCCGTCCGTCGGGGGTGAGTGTGCTCTTTGCACGGACGTCCTTGAGGACACGCAGGAGGAGTTCCAGTGTCTGGCTGCTGCTTCACCTCATCTCACGTCCGTACTGCTTACCCGTGAGGGAGACCCGGATGCACTAGACATCCCGACTCCGCGCTCTTACGCGGAGGCCGTAGAGGGTCCCTACTCCTCTTAGTGGCAGGCAGCTATGGATGCAGAGATGGCTTCCTGGAAGTCCACAGGCACCTACGTTGACACGGTTCCCCCTCCTGGGGCGAACATCGTCAGTGGCATGTGGATCTTCAGGGTGAAGCGGCCGCCGGGCTCTCCACCTGTCTTCAAGGCGCGGTACGTGGCTCGTGGCTTCAGCCAGCGGCAGGGAGTTGACTACTTTCAGACCTTCTCTCCCACCCCGAAGATGACCACTCTTTGGGTGCTGCTACACGTAGCCGCTCAGCGTGACTACGAGCTTCACTCCCTTGACTTCAGCACTGCTTTCCTGCAGGGTAGCCTGCACGAGGAGATCTGGTTGCGCCGTCCACCTGGCTTCAGTTGGACTTTCCTCCTGGCACCCAGTGGAGCCTCTAACCGCCAGTCTACGGTCTCCGCCAGGCACCGCGCGAGTGGCACGACACACTGAGGACTACGCTTGCGGCTCTTGGGTTTGCTCTCTCTACTGCTGACCCGTCGCTGTTTCTACGCACCGACACCTCTCTGCCGCCGTTCTACATCCTCGTGTACGTCGACGACTTGGTCTTTGCCACAGTTGACACTGCTAGACTCGCCCACGTGAAGTCCGAGCTGCAGAAGAGACACACGTGCACAGACCTGGGTGAACTGCGCAGCTACCTTGGCTTGCAGATCACCCGGGACAGAGCACGCCGCACCATTACCCTGACTCAGTCACACATGGTGCAGCAGGTCCTTCAGCGCTTCGGCTTCACGTACTCCTCTGCCTACTCGCCACTTGCTCTCAGCTCTGCCTTCGGATGAGTCCGTAGAGTCGAGTGGCCCGTATGCAGAGCTTGTTGGCTGCCTCATGTACCTGATGACCTGCACACGACGTGACCTTGCATACCCTCTTAGCATTCTAGCACGCTATGTTGCTCCTGGGAGATACAGACCGGAGCACATGGCTACAACGAAGAGGGTGTTGCGCTACTTGTGCAGTACGTCGGGCATGGGGCTTGTGCTTGGAGGGCAGAGTCCAGTGGTCCTCCCTGGGCACGCAGACGCTTCTTGGGCTGACCACCAGGCTACGCAGCGATCGTCATAGGGTTACACCTTCAGCCTTGGTTCCGGCTCTGTCTCGTGGCGGGCTACCCGCTCGTCTTCTGTTCTCGGCTCCAGTTGTGAGGCTGAGATCTACGCCGGGGCCATGGCTGCACAGGAGCTTCGCTGGCTCACCTACCTGCTGACTGGCCTCGGAGAGCCGCCTCGTTCTCCTCCAGTGCTGTACGTAGACAACAGGCCATGCTGGCCTTGTGTCGAGAGCATAGACTGGAGCACAGAACGAAGCACATTGCTCTCCGCTACTTCCTTGCTCGTGAGCTACAACAGCGTGGTCGGCTGCGCCTTGCGTACGTGGCCTCTGAGGCCAACACTGCTGATATCTTCACCAAGGCACTTGCGCCTTGTGATCATTAGCGCTTCTGTACTCAGCTGGGTCTTGAGCCTACCTTGCCTCACTTGCCCACCCCTTGACGTTGTTTGTACTGTTGCATATATATATACACCTGCTCTTGCTTGTTTAGCCTTATATATATATATATGTAATCCTGCATGTGAACTGGCCTTGTGGCCTTGAACTTGTGCTCGGAATGTGTGGTGACTTTGTGATCCACCCTGAGCTTGCTTTGCTTTGCTTGACCGGTCTTGTGACCCCTTGTTCTCCCCCACTTTGCCTATGGGGGTGTGTCAGATTTATATGACATAGCTACTGTAGGTTATAGTGGGGTAGCACATATGGGGTACAGCTTTCTAGGGTTTGTACTTGTACCCAACTTTCCCTTAGTCATTTCATTCTCGTTCTAGTTTTCTCAAGGGACGCCGGCATCGTAATCAACGAGAAAAAGTCACGTCTGGTCCCCACATAGGAGCTTCGCTTCCTTGGACTCGAGTTGAACACACAAGTCGGCAAATTCTCGGTCGGAGAAGAACGGCGCTCCCTGTTACGAGCTACAATTACAAGTCTCATCAATTCCGGATGCGCTGGTCACGAAGTGAACATTCGTCAAATCGCTCGAGTGACTGGAATGCTTGATTCCATGAGCCTCGCTTTGGGCGCAACCGCACGAGCCTTCAGCCACGAGCTGTTGCAACTTATCAACAACGCGCCCTCATGGCACTCGAAGGTGTCGTTGTCAACAGAGGCCATCCATGAGCTGCGCTTCTGGATGGAACAGTTCGACCGTTACAACGGTGCACCATTCCACCATCCGCATCACTACAACGCCATCATCCAGGTGGACGCCAGCGCGCACAGCTGGGGTGCCACCCTCTCTACCTTTCATGGAACACCGAGCAACGCAAGCGCTGGCATGTCCGACAATCTGTGGACAACCTCCAGTACGGGACGCGAGTTTGAAGGCGTGTTTTGGGCGCTACGCACCTTCATGGACCGTCTTCGACACGGCCACACGTTGGTTCGCGTGGACAACCAAGGGGTCATGTGTCAAACATTATATATGTTATGCTTGTGTAGGCTACAGTGGGTTAGCCTATAGGGGGTACACAATTCTAGGGTTTCCTACTTGTACTCATTTCACTGCTAGTTCATTCATTCCTGTTCGCTTATTCTCACATGGTATAGAGCGGGTCCTTCTAAGGACCGTTTTTTTGGGCCCACCGAAGCGCGCCCGGAGGCGCGATTTTTTTTTAGCGACCCCTCGGGTCGCCTTTTCCCCTGCGGCTCAGCCGCCTCCACTGACGCGGCCCCGCCGCCCTCCCTTACGTAGCCCCGTTGCAGGCTCTCACGCGGCCCTGCCGTCGACTCTGTCGCGGCCCCGCCCCGGCCTTTACGCGGCCCCGCTGCCTGCTCTCACGCGGCCCCGCCCCGGCTCCTACGCGGCCCCGCCCCGGCCTTCACGCGGCCCCGCCGACGGCTCTGTCGCGGCCCCGCCCAGGCTCTTACGCGGCCCCGCCGCCTACTCTCGTGCGGCCCCGCCCCGGCTCCTACGCGGCCCCACCGCCGGCTCTCCTACGGCCCCGCCGCCGACTCTCCTGCGGCCCCGCCCCGGCTTTCACGCGGCCCCGCCGACGGCTCTGAAGCGGCCCCGCCCCGGCTCTGAGCCGGCCCCGCCCCGGCTCTCACGCGGCCCCGCCGCCGGCCCTCACGCGTCCCCGCCCCGGCTCTCTTACGCGGCCCCGCCGCCACACCTGCAGCAGTCGGGCAGCAGTGCAGCCGAACCGCCCGGGAGCCGAGCCGCCCAACGCCCGAGCCGCCCTGTCGCCGCGCCGCCCGGGACCCGAGCCGCCCTGCACGCCGAGCCGCCCGGGAGCCGAGCAGCCCTGCACCCGAGCCGCCCTGCCGCCGAGCCGCCTGGGAGCCGAGCCGCCCTGCGCCCGAGCCGCCCAGCCACCGAGCCGCCCGGGAGCCGAGCCGCTGTGCACCCGAGCCGCCCGGTCGCCGAGCCGCCTTTCTGCAGAGCTGCACGACCTGCCCTGCCTGGTGAGCACAGTCCCACTGTCACTACGAGCTCTTTCCCTACTGCTTGCACTACTTCGCTGTCGTCGCCATGGCTACCCCTAGTGTCCTAGCTTTTGACGCTGAGGGTCGCGCCATTGATTTTGAGGTCTGGTTAGACGACCTGCAGCTGTTCTTACAGTGCGACAGGGCTGATGGCCTTTCTCTCTTTGACCTCACCTCTGGCGCCTCTCCTGCTCCTGCTGCTGATGCTGATCCCACTGTCCGCTCTCAGTGGGCCACCCGCGATGCTGCTGCACGTCTTGCTGTGCGTCGCCACCTCCCTACCTCTGAGCGTGCGCACTTTAGTCAGTACAAGAGTGCTCAGACCTTGTACGACGCTATAGTTGCGCGCTACTCCTCCCCTGCCACTGCTGCACTGAGCCGTCTCATGCTTCCCTACCTCTTTCCAGACCTTGCTGCCTTTCCCACTGTCGCTGACCTCATTACGCACC